TAGGTCCGGGCTGCCGGTTCTGACATTAGGTCCGGGCTGCCGGTTCTGACATTAGGTCCGGGCTGCCGGTTCTGACATTAGGTCCGGGCTGCCGATTCTGACATCAGGTCCGGGCTGCCTTCAACCGAAAGAGAGATTGAGTACATGGAATCTGATACAATGGGACCGCTTCCGGACGAGGAACAACAGACTGCTGTATACTGAGCACCACCAGACCGTGCTCTACGAGACCTCAAGGAGCACCTCCGACAGAATGCCCCTTTGAGGTGCGTGGAACAACCGGACGACGGAGAGCCTGAGGTGATGGAGTATCCAGTTGTCACAAAGCCAAACAGGGCTGCTACCGTGGGACGGGTGGAGAGTCGAACGGAACCTCCGAGTTTTCGGAGAGGGTCGATTACTCGACGCTCGCCCACGTATGAGCGAAGAGACGATAGAGGAGATCGAGGTAGAGAAGACTGGAGGGACCAGTATATTAGGGAGCAACTTTGGAGAGATAGGGAGGGAGTTGCACCGCCCAGACGGATTTACGATCCTCAGACGGGGGAGTCGCACTCCCTACCATATGAAACGAGAGATAGGTTTATCATCTCGCACCAACCTTCGGAGTTAGATACCAGGCCCCCGGTTTTCAAGGGATACGGTATTACCGAATATCTTGAAAAGTCGGAGCTGCATGCCTACCGAAGTCAGTGGTCAGAGGATGAGATCATTGACAACTTTCTGTTCAACACAGACCCGAGTTTGAGTCAAGTGATAAAGGAAGCTCGACCGAAGGATAGGAGGTGGACTACGTACAAAGCCAGCCTTTATGAACTCTTTAAGCTGGAAGACGTCAAGAATTCAGTCCGAGATTTGGAAGTGATGGCTCAGGGGGAGGACGAGAGTGTCCAAGCATTTGGGAGGCGATTACAGAAGGTTTCTAGAGTGTCCAAGCATTTGGGAGGCGATTCCAGAAGGTATCTGATGCCCTTATGGCGAGAGGGAAGTTGTCGGAAGTCCAGAGATGCACGATCTTCTTTAGCCGACTGCCCAGAGGGAAACAAAAGGCGGTGCTGAGGGAGACGCCTCACGATAAGTTAGAGTTCAGTGCGTTACTCAAGTTGACAATGAAGGCTGAGGCAGATGATTACAAGGATTTACTCTGGAGGGGCATGCAGCGTCGGGACTTTTCCCTCTATCGGGAGTACGGGATCGATAGGTGTCCAGACTTTAACGATCAGCCGTGGGCAGAGCGACGATATTTGATGGACAGAGACAGACCCCAACGGTCGAGGGATAGCGAGACGGTGATAGACGAGATGAGAGAGATGATGAAGGGAATGGCCAGACAAATGGCAAATTTCAAGACGAAGGTTGGGGCGATTACATACCGGGACAAGCCCGGGTCTCCCTATTCATTGCGATGGGACCGTAGGAATATTGACCCATGGAGGAGCGTCGAGGATCGGAATCCTCGCACTCTGGCAGATTACCGTGCGAGGGAAAGGGATCACGATACCTGGCGACGTAGAGATGATGACATAGACAGAGATCGCCGACGTGACGGATACCGAGGAGTAGACTCTTTTAGTCAAGGAGGAAGAGTGGAGCCGTATCCCCACAGTCCCAGATACGGAGGGAGCACGGATGGATACCGCCCGAACAACTTCAATTCTAGGGATAGAGAGGATTCCCATGGCCGATGGGAATCAGATAGGGACCGCCGTGACGGATATCGCGGCGGTACTGAGCGGACAGAGAAAGGCAGAAGTCGCAGGGAAGAACCGCGCAGACGGTACGAACGAGGGGGATACCCTACGTCGCCTGGATACCCCAAGTCCCCAAACTATCTCAAATCTCCTGGGCCATCCAACCAGGACGCTAGACGGTCGGCATTTACGGGAACGGAGGAGCAACCCCCTACTCCTAGGAACTCCTGTATCTATTGCAGGGCTGACGATCACGTGAAGAGGGACTGCCCTGACCTCATGCGAGCAATAGATGAAGGACTTGTCGTACTTGATGATCGCAAGTATGTCAAGTGGGCAGATAACCTTGGCGAGGTATCGATGTTCCCTTCGATGCAGGAGAACGTTGAAGCCAGGCGGGTACAACCAAGTAAGGGTAAGGGAGTCACAAGGAGCCAGAGTGTGAGGCTGAGCCTGACTTCTGATGAGGAGGCTCCCATGACAACTATACGAGTGGCGGCGACTAAGTCCGCAAGGGCGTCCTCCTCTAAGAAGGCTGACACTGATTATGTGATGACAGAGAAAGATGGGCAGAGGATAGAAGGAAAGGAAGTTATACTCTCGCCGCGCAACCGCGGAGCCAGAAAGTTCACAACGAAGAGCACTTTGGATGACATAGACACGATCGAGCTTCTCAGGCGCGCACTTAGGCAGCCAATGCAATGCACGATACTTGAGTATTTGGCAGCCTCGAGACCTGCGCGAGATGAGTTGCAGATGATCACGCGCAAGACGCGCATTCCTCTGGGCGATGAAATCCAGATGGCTTCCAAACAGGAGGTACTACCCTCTGTAGCAGTATCGGGTGTGATCGCTAAAGCGGAACGTGCAACAACGATGTTCTTAGATGGGATGGAAGGTGTGCCTCCTGACAAGTTTTATATTCTGGGCAGTGGGACAATACAGACTATACTCAACGACGAGGTAGTCCTTCATGCCGTAATTGGTAATGGTAGCGAGGCTGTCATCATAGATGAGGAGCTTGCTGTGCGATTGGGACTGGACCTCGACAGGTCATACCAATTCGAGATAGAGACAGCCGATGGGAGAAAGCAGAAATTCGCTGGGGTCTGTCACAAGGCGGCGATCGAGGTTGAAGGATTGCGAGTGTTGATGCCTGTTTTCGCAGTCCGGGACTGTAGCTCGGAGTTACTATTGGGGCGGACATGGCTAAGCCATGTCCACGCGGTAACTATAGAGCGACCGGATGGAAGCCAGATGCTTTCCATCAAACGTCCAGATGGTGGGCGAATTATGATGGAGACTGTACAGCCTCGTGATCCGAGAAAAAGAGCGGTTCTCGCAGCAGGGGGCCGCAAGCCAGTCACCCTTGCGAGTTGCTCCCTGAGCTTTCGCGAAAAGAAGTATGGACCGTTACTTACAGAAGAAGTAGAGGTTGAGGACTTAGGCGAGCGAATCCATGTGGGGGGAAACTCCTATCCTAAGGCTGAAGATGAGGAATTCAGAGGAATGGTTTCTGTGTCTTTTTTAAGGGCACAGCCCCCTACGGGGGCGACCAAAAAGACACAAGACAGTAGCTCAGAAAGTCAAGTCGGCGGCAGTAGCTCGGGAGCGATCCGCATTAGATGGCGTGGCTGAGGAAGAGATCGCTAGGGAGATTAAAGAGAAGAAGAAAAAGGAGCCGCAACGAGGGAGAATTGATCCTAGGTATGCTAAGCCTGCTAGGATTTACACGATTCCGCATACGCCATGGAATGAAGCAGGGTGGAAGTTTGCTCAGAAAGAGAAGGAAGAAGTGATCTTCTTTCTCAAGGAGAAGATGGCATCACATGTAGCAGAGCCATCTGATAGCGCATACGCGAATAGGTGGTTCTTCTTAAGGAAGCCTAATGGGAAGATTCGGTGGATTCAAGACCTCCAGAAGATCAATGTTGTGACGATTCGAGATGTAGGCTCCATACCGCACACTGATCTATTAGCAGATGGAGCGGCAGGCAGATCTATTTATTCTGTCTGCGATTTATTTTCAGGGTATGATGAGATACCACTAGATCCGAGAGATAGGCATCTCACAGCGATGCACACGCCATTCGGATTAGTGCAGATGATGGTCGTACCTATGGGATGGACCAACGGGGTAGCAGTCTTTTAAAGAGCCATGGTAGCTGTTTTGAAAGACTTTATCCCTGATTAAGTTGATTTTTTTTCTGGACGACTTTCCGATAAAAGGGTCGGTACTGAAAGACGAAACGGAAGTCGCTCCTGGAGTCAGGAGATTCGTAGAGCAACACCTGACGGGTATTTACGCTGTCCTGGAACCGTTAGATGCTAACCTTGAATTCCAAACAATTACCTGGGTGGCGGGGGAGGTTGAGTGCGGACGGAGAGGAGAATCTGAAGGACCAGTCCGCGACTGTAAAGCGGGCTTCGCTCAGTCTTTTCTATTGCTCTGCTGTGAACTGTGAATGAATGCGTTGTTGTTCGGAAATCGATGTTAATTGTTGTGAACTGAGCTGCTAATTGTTGCTTGTACATTTGATCCGCGTTCTGCAGAATGAGACTTGATATGGCTGGATACTATCGATGTTAATTATTGGGAACTGAGCTGCTAATTGTTGTTTGAACATTCGATCCGAGTTCCGCAGAATGAGACTTGATATGGCTGGATACTATCGCTGTTAATTATTGTGAACTGAGCCGCAAATTGTTGTTTGAACATTCGAACCGAATTCTGCAGAGTGACACTTGATATGTCCCAAAGTTGTCGTTGCTGATTATTGTCATCCGAGTATCAATTTATAGCATAAACACTTCGGCAGATCTCCGCGAAACGAACTTGCTTTGTCTTTCCGGAACTGAAGACACCACACACGTCGCCTGTCGGTCGCTGAGGACCTCGAAAGCGGGCGCGGCGAGGTGACAGGCGTCGTGGCCCATGGCTTCAGCGAAAGGGTAGATGACCTCTCCCCGGGTTTCCTCACAACGTGGTTTCCGTTTCGAGAATTCGCGACGCCATTGCTCGGAATGACGTCGAGGAGATGGGCCTTGTATTTTTGCATGCTCTCCCCTCGCCGGACGGACCAGCCGCGTCACCGCCGAACCCACGCATTACTCACCTCTTGGATGGGTATGGAGACGTTTTCGAGGCTCCCACCTGAACGGTTTCGGATCGGCCCATACGTCACGGGATCACTCTCGAGACTGGCGCCGTCCCTCAGCGTGGATGCATTTACCGCATGAGCGAAGAGGAACTCGATGTGCTGGATTCGCCCTAGTTGTTCGCCTTACGGTGCCCCTGTTCTCTTCGTCCGGAAGAAGAACAAAGATCTACGGTTATGCATCGATTATAGAAAACTTAACGCACAAACCATAAAGAACACCGGCCCTCTCCCTCGGATCGATGATCTCCTTGAGCGGTTAGGCGGCGCGACGTACTTCTCGAAGTTGGACTTGAAGTCGGGTTACCACCAGATTGAAATCCAGCCTCAAGATCGGTACAAAACCGCGTTCAAAACGCGGTACGGGCACTTTGAGTGGGTTGTCATGCCATTTGGCCTCACCAATGCCCCCGGGACTTTCCAAGCAGCTATGACAACTAAGTTTCGCGACTTGCTCGATCGCAGCGTCCTCATCTACCTCGATGACATCTTGGTTTATAGTAGGAAGTTGGACGAGCACATCGTACACCTTCGCGCTGTTTTGGATCGTTTGCGACTGGCCAAGTACAAAGCGAATCGCGACAAGTGCGAGTTCGCCAAGCAGGAGCTTGAGTACTTGGGTCACTATGTCACGCCGAAAGGCATTCGTCCCTTAGTGGACAAGATCCAAGCCATCGTGGATTGGCCGGAACCCCGTTGCACGACGGATGTACACTCTTTCATGGGTTTGGCTGGATATTATCAGCGATTCGTCGAGTCATACTCGAAAGTGGCCGCTCCCTTGTCGAGACTACAGTCCCCAAAGGTGCCCTTCGAGTTCGACGACGCAGCCCGTGGCGCGTTCAATACGTTGAAGGCAGCAATGCAAGACGCACCTGCCCTCCGTATATATGACCCCACCCTACCCACCCAAGTGACTACGGACGCTTCGGGATATGGTATTGGTGCGGTGTTGGAACAGTGTCATGCTGCAGCGCCTGAGCTCGCACGACTCTTGCACACCGGTTGGATTACCTACTAGGGTGTTCCGGAAGACATAGTGACCGACCGAGATACTCGCTTCATGTCCGCCTTTTGGACTTCCCTTATGGCTGAGTCCGGTACGACAATGAAGCCGAGCTCGGCTCGACACCCGCAGACAGATGGCCAGACGGAGCGAGCACACCAGACCGCTCAGATGATGTTGCGTACGCTCATCCGTCCCGACCAAAAAGATTGGGTTGACCGGCTTCCCGACATTGAGTTCGCCAATAACACTTCGGTGCACCCAGCGATCTGCGTCACACCATTCGAGTTACATCATGGTGGAGAGAAAGCACGAATCTTCGCTGATTTCCTTCTACCACGGGCCGCCGACATAGGCGTCCCTTGCTCTCCCGCTTCCGTTCGGAAGTACCGGGACTTGCTGATCAAAGCCCGCGCGAATATGCAAAAGGCTCAAATCCGCATGCAACAGCAAGCTAACCGACGTCGACTCCCATGTCCTTTCCGCGAGGGAGACCTTGTTTGGGTCCTCTCCGAGGAATTTGCGCTCGAGCAGGATGTTTCGCGCAAACTCCTTCCGAAATGGTTTGGACCATGGAAGATTACTTCTGCGGTTGGAGACAACCCCGCCGATCCTTCCTTCACGATCGCCATTCCACCGCACCTGACAGTGCACCCGGTCTTCCACGCATCGAAGCTGGCCATCTATACGCCACCTTTTGCTGACGAGTTTTCGGGCCGACGATCACAGGATCCGCCTTCTATGGACGGACATCAGGAAGTCGACCGAGTCATCACGCTCCGCAAGTACGGCAACAAGCCAATGCAGTTCAAAGTCACATTCAAGCAATGTGCGCCTGACGACACTCGGTGGATCTCTCGTGCAGACTTGCAGACTTCTGCACCCCTTATCTTCGCCAACTATGAGAAGCGACGACTTGGCAAGGAAGCAGCTCGTCCCGCCCGACCCACCCCGGTATCGGACAGATAACTCCGCCCTCGCAGGTAGCTCGGTCTTTTAAGAGGGGGAGTGTGTTACACATTGTGTCACACGGGCCAGGGTAGGCCCGACAAATTGGGGTTCAGGGGCCGGTCCAGGCCCAAGGCCGGACCTGGCCCAAGGCCGGACCTTTACCACGGCGGAGCCATTCTAGGCCGCCGGTTGGCCCTTTTAGGCCACTTACGGACCAGACCCGACGGGCAGGCCCAAACGACATTACCGTTTGGACCTGGCGGCGATCTTGAGGCTGCCGCCCGCCGGTCTGATCTGAATCGTCGATCTAGACGATTCAGATCACGGCCAGGCCTCGCAGTATTGAGGCCAGCCTCTTTTCCACCGGTACTTAATACCGGTCCAACCTCATTTTGAGGCATCGAGCACTGGGACGTTGTTGAGCGCCAGTCGTTTCGGTTCAGAGCGGAGCAGCGGCATTGCGAGGAGCGCTGCACTATTTTGGTTAGCGCACAACGCTGGAGACAGCAGCACTATTTTAGCGCTGGACTGCACAGGAGTCGAGGAGCGGCGGGGAACTTACCTGGCACTTACCTGAGGCGCCATAGCTCCAGCTGCGCAGGTCTTCAACGGCATCCACGTACCTGCAGGTGAGGCCTGGATTCGGGACAAGGCAGCGAGGTTATTCCTCCTCCCTACCTCACCATCTCCTCCTCCTCCTCTGCCACCTGGCTCTTCTTCTTCTTCTTCTTCTTCTTCTTCTTCTTCAGACTGGAGACTTGATACTTGTGGACAAAGATCAGTGTTGGACTTCGGTGGTAAGAGGCTGTGGTACTTACCGGATTCGGGACTTGGAGATTGTTGGGGTTGATACTCGGCGGCATCACAGATTGGACACCGGTTACATGAGGACTCTGTATCTCCGACCTTGGTGACTTATTGTCCACGACATTTTGATCTTGTTCGATGACATTTTGGACTACCATATCGGTGACCTACTGGATTCTATCTCGGTGACATCTGGTGCTGCCTACATCTCCCACCTCCTTCGTCTCTCCTCCCACCTTTCATCTGTGTATGATTGTACGGGGCCTGAGCATCGTCTATGATTGGCTCAGACCCCACCATCTCACGATTGTTTGTGTGTTGAGTGATATTTGTGTGAGTCAGTCTATGTGAGTCAGTCCATTTATCAGACTTCCGCTGCATACATGCTCATCCTATATTGGTTGATCTCTTGGTTCTGCCCATACTTGTTGAAGTATTCACGAGTATGCAACAGAAGGCTGATGTGGCATTCTCTACTGGCAGGGCATGGTCTGACGTGGCACGTATCTGTGTTGCGTGTACCTGCTGATGAAACACTGCATACTTGAGCTGACGTGGCATGCCAGTGTTGTGTGTGTTGCAGACGTGCATTGTTGACGTCGCATCCCCCCTCGTAGACCTTTCAGGTCCTGATGCAGCTGCTGTGTTGGCATTCCAGGGGTGACATGTGGCATGCATAACACGTTGTTGTAGGTGAGGTGTTGATTGTGCACTTGCGTGTTGGCAGACGGTACGACTTTGCTGTAGTGTCGAGTGTTGGCCCTTGTGTTTGGTTGCATTGTTTCTGCAGATGGTACAGCCGTAGAGAAAGGAAGGCTAACAATTGATTGTTGTGGTTGTGTTGGCTGACCTGCTAACCTGATTGACTATTTTGTGGTTGTTGTGCATACTTACCTGTGTGCTGTTGTCTTGATCACACTGGTCGTGGCTGCGGTACCTGTATACTTTTTGTAGGACATCATCACATAGAATAGACAGTGAGGGTTGTTCCTTTGTTACTCTTGTCTATTTATTCTTCCTGTAGTAGAAAGAAACCGGGTGTGGCCATGGAATTTATTTTTGTCTTCTGTAATTATTTATTGTGCGGCGAATACACATTCTGAAAATGGCTTACCTGTGGAATTCCCTGCATCTCTCTGTCTTGACTCAATTTATTCCTTACTTCTTCTTCCCTGTCACCATGACCTTTTTGCTGATGAGGAAGGTGGTGACCCAAAAACCCGTGGTCAAATTGAGACCAAACGGCAAGAGATGTTGGGCCGTTTGCAGTCGTTGATGTCTGATCTACATGCTGCTGGTGCCGACACTGAACAACAAGTTCGCCGTCAGTTCGATCTTCGTGCAGCAAAAAACAAACTAAAGGAGGTTGAGACTGTTGTTTAGTTGTTGGAAGTCTGCACCCATGTACAGAGAAGATCATTATTCAGAGTCGACAGGCTCTGGATAAAGTTGTACTTAGTCAACTGTCAAAACTAACCAAAAAAGGGAACAAAAAGGAAGAAGCAAGAGAAACAAGTAAGGAAGAGAAAGAACCTGAATTGTCTAAAGAAATAATGTTGGGAAATACCAGACAGTTGGAGGATGCATTGACTGAAGAAAGAAGGAAGATTGAGGAATACAAGAGGATAAGAATAGAAAGAAAACAGCAAGACAAAAAAGTGAAATGGATCTTCCATTTGTCCTTCATAATTTGATGGCCTTCCTTGCTCACCTTGAGTTAAAGATTGACAGTAACACCGCAGACCTTGAAACTATGTCTAGAATGATCAAGGGAAAAGGTAAGATGTCAGTTGAGTAGGAGGCTAGGGGAAAAGAAAAGGTAAACCCCAGGAAAAGTTAATGAAGGATGCAATGAAGGAAGTTAAAGTGACACCGAAGACGCCCGAGAGTTCAAAGAAGGAACCGGCAAGACCGGCAGAGAAGAGCCAGCTAAAGAAGCGGAAAAACCAAAAAGGAAAGAAAAAGTGAAAATGAAACTGCCGTTCACCTACAACAACAAGAAAGATGAAAACTTATTGTTGTGGATCGTGGAGATCCAAACTTATTGCGGCACCGCTCCAGTCGAGCCTGAGAGTCAGGTGGCCTTCTCTACGTCATGTCTGGGGGGAGTGGCCAAGGAGTGGGTGTTGTCCGAAGCCAACACTGCTGGCTTTGAAGATATTGGTGAGTGGGCTAAGACCCTCACGTTGAGACAATTTCTCCAAATGATTAAGGAGAGATTTCTTGACAAAACGACGATCGACTAGGCCTTTGACGAACTCACCACAATAGGGCAAAAGCGTTGGTCTTCAGTTGATGCGTTGTCTCATGAGGTTGATCGTCTTTTGCAGGTACCTGGACTGAACTTGCAGGTTAACCAGGTCCTATATATCTACTCACGCGCCTTGCCCGAGCCAATTCGTAGCCGAGGCTAAGTCTGGTAAGTATAATTATCTGCAGTTTCGCGATCTCGCTCTCCAACGAGAGCAGATGACCGCACAGGTGAAGGGTTCCTATGCTTCAGTAGTAAAATCAGGACCGGTTGGTGGGTATGGTAAGTGGGTCCTTTGGCGGCAAAAGCGCCAAGGCCATATGCTTGTAGTTTCTAACGATGATACTGTAGAGAAGTTACCCCTCGACGAGTCTGAGGGAGGAGGAGGTAATGGCGGCAATGGGTTTGGGAAGGGTGATGTCACTGTCGCGGTGGCCAACAAGAGAGGCCAAAGTCAGTGGAAGAAGAAGAGGAGGCCACACTCGTTTTCTGAGCATCCTCACATTGCGTTCTAGAAGCCCTGGGAAAAAATGGGTATGACTCGTGAGGAATGGCAGTCCAAGATGGACAACCGCCAATGCCTCAAGTGTGGCACCGTGGGTCATGTGATAGCATGGTGCCCGTTGATTCGAAACCCAAAAGCGAGCAGCCAGTAGGAGTAGCATCTAGTCCTACTAAGTCGAAGGGTTTAGACAAAGATAAAGGTAAGGCGTCGATAACCCCTTCTAACCCCTCGACTCTGAAGGCAGAGGATGACTCTTCTTCAACCCATCGTCCAGAGCACCCTGACACTGTTCTTTGCTCTGTCTCACTGGACGATTCCCTTGACAAACTAGGTAATGAACTCATAACACTTGAAGTTCATGGGCTAAGAAAGCCAAGTCTAAGGGTGAGTTAATGATTGCGGATATTGAGATTGCGCACATGCGAGTAGGTGCACTGTTAGATCCAGGATCGACGCCGTCTTACATCTCAGAGTACGCAATTAGCAAATTGCATTTGGGAATGAAGGTAAAGGATTTACCTCGACCTATCATGTCTATGCTAGCTGACAAGAGCACTATCACTGTCTCTCAATACGTCGATTTTGTGAAGTGTTATTTCAGGACAAAGGAAGAAAAGAAGATCCTACATGAGATATCCTTCCCAATTGAAAAAAACCTGTCATTTGATATGATTCTGGGAATGGATTGGCATGAGGAAGCCGACCAGAAGTCAGGTTCAAAAAGAAAATTGTAAAGCTAAAGGACGAGAAGTCCGAAATGCGAGCGGTTAAGTTATTCCATAGGTCTGGCTCTGACTCAACTTTGTCTTTCTGCTGTATGAGTTACCCAACCTTCCGATTGATGGTCTACAAAAAGAAGTTGGACCAGGATGTGATGATGGTACTCGTGAAACGAGTAGGTGAGTGTTCCTCATCCTATCCTCCTATTGAAAAACTTCTCGATGAATATAAGGACTTGCAGACTGAGCCAAAGGGAATCACTAAGCGTGCTATTAAGCACACGATTGAGATAATTCCCGAAAGCAAGATTCCCAAGGGTCCCATCTACCGAATGTCTCCAAGGAACTTGAGGAACTGCGTAAACAGTTGCAAGAACTTACTAACAAAGGATGGATTCGCCCTAGCTTATCTCCTTATGGTGCCCCTGTCTTATTCGTGTCCAAAAAGGAAGGTGGACCCGATTATGCATTGACTATCGTGGTTGAACTCCGTCACTGTTAAGATCGTGGAACCACTTCCGCACATTGACGACCTGTTGGACCAATTGCAAGGCAGCCGGCACATTGATCTCAAGTCAGGGTACCACCAAATCGAGGTGGCTCCTGAAGATCAACATAAGACGACTTTCCGAACCAGGTATGGTCACTACGAGTTTGTGGTTATGCCTTTCGATTTGACGAATGCACCTGCGACCTTTCAAAGGTCAATGAATGAATTGTTTCGTCAATGGTTAGACCAGTTCGTAGTAGTCTATTTCTAGTATATAGTAA